TGCCACCCACCCTCTCCAACACCCACATGTAAGTCAGATCTGATTTTGTGAGTTTCAACTGGCAGACACTGGCTGAGAAACAAAACTCATTTATGGGCTGCACCCCCACGCAGCTGCTGTGGGCTTCCATCGCTGAACCTGCCTGCTTTCTTGATTTCTAGTTGAAAGAGAATGGCTTTCTCTTCCTCTTCTCCATCTCCCGCCCCCCTGCAGCTGTCAGCATTTATAGCTCGCTGTTGCCCTGGTTTTGTTTCTCCCAAATGCCAATAAAATGGCCCTAGAGTTAAGAAAAAAAAAAAAAAAAGTAAGAAAGAAAAAGTAAAAAAGAAAATCTCTCTGAGGTACACAAAGGGCAAAGGTGGTATGTTCAATTCCTGGGTGGGGTCACAGGCTCAGAAAGCTTGGTCACATGGTCTATCCAGACAGACAGCACACCTGTGGGATGGTGGAGCCTCTGCTACAGTGAGCACTGCTTAGTGTTCCTGCTTAGAGGTACCACCAGTGCCGTGAATCCTTTCTTATTGTTAGTAGAGAAAGGAACAATTCATGACCTTTCTGCACACCTCCCTGAACTTCAAGCTGGGTCTGGGCTCAGGTTGCCCCCATGCTATCCAAGTACACACCCAAGAATAACTCTTCCTTCCAGAAAGCTCTCACCTCGGATGTCCGGCTTTGCTGTGCAAGGGTTTCCCTTTTTTGGTTTCCTGTTTCCTGTGTCAGCTGTCTGGTGAAACACTCCCACCTGCCGATCTACATTTTACCAGGGGAGTGGGGGAGGCACAGCTCTGAGGGCTGATGGCTAGTTGAATCCAGGGATCCTGCGCTGTGGAGCTTTGAGGAAAGTGTCTTGCATAAAGACTTAGGTCCTTTTGTTCTCCAAGTTACTGTAGTTCTAGGTCACCAGCTTACTGCTACCCATTCCATTGTTCATGAGTTTTGGGGGAACACTCTTCCAGAAACACAGGAACCCAGCAGATTTGCCCTGTCTTGAGAAGGGTGGATGGGAGAACTGAGAGTAACCAGAAACTTTCTGGAAAGGAATGTGGGGCTCTAATGATGCTGCGTCTTTGACCTCATGTGTATGCATGTATTGCCTGTGTGTGCACCCCTATCCTGCAATGCCCAAGGAGGACAGAAGAGGCTGTCAGATCCTCTGGAACTGGAGTTACGGACAGTTGTTAGCTGCCATGTGGGTGCTGGGATTCGAACCTGGGTCTTCTGCAAGAACAACCAGTGTTCTTAACCACTAAGCCATCTCTCCAGCCACAGCCCTTCTTATTTTTCTGTTTCAACCTTTAATTTCTTTTCAAAGATTGTAGGCCCCAGGTGACAGGCAGGTGACATCCTTGAGCAAGGCAAAACCAGCTGACCCTGCCTGGTGATATGGGAATGAACCAGAGGTGAGGGCCCAGTCAGGGGACCCCAGCACCCCTAAGCCTTAATGATTATTAGAACAAGGGAGATGCTACAGGCAGCTCACCATGAAGCTAAGAGTCTATTTTTCTGTGAAAGCTACTGACTTTCGGGTGATGAATTTGGCTTCTCCTAAGATACTTCATCAGCCAGAGAGACTCCACCTGTAGCCAGCCTGGGGCTCCTGGGCAAGTGCTTGGGTCCTGCAGCCTCTGGATCATCTGTCCTGGCTGTAGACACATGAGTTTGGTGGCCTGAGGCAAGCACCTGCTGTTTAGGGATGTCACTGTGCAGAGCTCCAAATGCAGATCATGTGAGAACTCATAACTGGGAGGGAATGCCTCATAGAAGTTAGATCTTACTGGGGGTCTGCTTCTTTCTTCCTCGAAGTGAAGTGTGCTTTCAATGTCTAGCCCAGCCATGAAAGTCAGGGAAACGTATACTCAGAGTGTGCTAATAAAACCAACTGTAAACATCTGTCCAGGCTATTATTTATTTTATAGATAGATGGGGGTATGTGTGTCTTTTCGTCTTGCCCAGCCTAGCCTTGAACTCCTGAACTCATGGATCCTTCATGGATCCTTCTGTCTCAGCCTTCCAAATAGCTGGGATTACAGATACACCAATGACCTTTGGCTCCAAAGGAATTTGTTTTATTTTGAGATAGGGTCTCACGTGTATCAGGCTGGTGCCAACTAACTGTATAGCTAAGGCTCACCTTGAACTCCAGGTATGTGCACTGGGGGATGGAACAGTGTACACTAGACAAGCATTCTACAAACGGAGCTACATCCAAAGAGTTTTAAAAGTAGAGCATATGTGAGATTTCCCTTCAATAAAACCACTATCCCTTGCCTTATTAAGGTTTAGAGATATCTTAGGAGTGTAGGCACAGGGGAGCTTGGGGTGCAGTCACTTCCGGCCCCAAACTTTTTTCCCAATTGAACTCGGGACCACGAGGAATGACCTAATTAAAGCTGTGCCAGGCCATGTCTTATGACCTAAAGAAGGGATTTCTGTAATCGAATATTTTTTTTAAAAAGTCAGCAGACTAGCCTCCGGGGTTGTCAATCATCCCTTATGGCCCAGACTGACTGGGGACAGGGTCTGGAAAAGCTGCGACCTTAGCCTGCTCTAACCTGTAAAGGCCTTCCTGTGGGGGAGGGGCGTTTCCTGCAAGCTGGCAGGAGGGCAGTTTTCTAGTTATAAATGACTGGGCAGGAAGTGCGCTAAGATATCAAACAGATATTTCTCCAACATTTCCTCAGGAACTGGACTCATTAAATATTTTGAAAAGAGCCACAACCAAGTTTCCATCACTTAAAAACTTTTCTTAGTCGGGCGTGGTGGCGCACAATCCCAGCACTCAGGAGGCAGAGGCAGGAGGATCTCTGTGAGTTTAAGGTCTGCCTGGTCTACATAGTGAGTTCCAGGACAGCTGGGGCTGCAAGGAGATCCTGCCTCAAAAAGACAAAACAAAACAAAACTTTTCTTAATCAATTAGGGCCATCAAGACAGACAGACAGAGCTTCAGCAGCCAGGTCCCCGCGACTCTTGGGGTTTAACAGCAAAATACGAGCTACCTGGAATCACAATAGCGTGAGTGCTTGCAGTTATCACTGAAGCCTCCAGGGGGCGCAAGACGCCGGCTCCTCTCTGGCCTCTAGCGTTGACTTAAGGAGCCTCCCAAAACTGCCGGAAATCTTTTGGGCGGGGCGTGGTGGCGCACGCCTTTAATCCCAGCTCTGAGGAGGCTGAGGCAGGCGGAACTCTGTGAGTTCAAGGCCGTTCTGGTCTACATTGCGAATTCCAATTCAGGCCAGTTGGCGCTACAGAGAGACCCCGTCTCAGGAAAAAAAAAAAAAAAAAAGAAGAGTACTCTGGTATGTGTATTCATTCACTGAAGAACGCCCCAGTAAATTGGCAATAATAAAATTCTGGTAATAATAAAATTGGAAATGATATCCAGAAATCCGGGAGTCCCCCCTCCCCCTGCCTTCAATTTTGCCTCAGCTTGGCGAGCTTTGTGGCCCTTCACTGCCCTGGCCAGTCTCCCAGGTTTCACCCAGATGGGGGTAAAACTCTCCAGGGGTCCCTCAGCACGCTTTTCCATGTAGCACAGAAATAGACCCGACGCCCACGGTGTCGTGTTGTTCGAGTGAGCCGTCTGCAAGCGTGGCTTGCAGGTCCCACATGGACAAATGACAGCAAGTTGGGGAACTCCCAATATCAGTTCCAATTATATTATTACCAGAAAACAACCTTTTCACGATGCATATTTAAGAGGTTGAAATATTTCAAAAATCTCATCAGACATATGGGTTTTCGCTCCATGAGTACTGGGTGGCAGGCTCCCTTTGCCCTCCAGCGTCTCCCCTCCCCCAACGCTGGGGAAACTCGGGGCGCTGAGTTCTTCTGGCTCTACTCTGTTTCTCATTAATGGGCATCTTGAACAGGGCCTTGCTGAACCGCTTGGTGTCCTCGGGTGCCCCAGGCCAAGACCCCCCCCCCCCCAGAGGTCAATGCAAGGCTCTGTGGGGATGGTGGTGGGGGTAAGGCTGATCTTTCCAGATCAGCCTGTAGGGGGTGCCCTGGGAAAGGCATTGTGGAACTGCTTGTGTCCGGCTCCTGGAACCTGAACCCCGGAACCTCCGGGTTCGGGTGCAGTAGCCCTAAGTCCTAGCCCTTGTCCCTGTTGCTAGGCACGCTTCTGTAGAACACCAAAAGCCAGACCAAGTGCAAAAGGCGCGCACACCCAGGGGTTCCAGAGCTGCACGCGGCCCGACCCCACGCGCCGGGCAACCCCACGACCCCCACGCGCGGTGGGGCTCTGCCCACCCTACCCAGTGGCAGGTGGACAGTGTTGCTATGAAATAAAAAGCCTTGATTGTCCCCATAGCGAACTGCCACACGCCAGACCTCCTCTATTGTGTGCCCCGCATAGAAATGCAAAAGAGCCGCGTGCGCCGGCCGCAATCTGCTTGTCCCGGCCGCCCTCACCCTGCTGCGCCCCGGGTGGGGCGGGGGGGCAGGGGAGGGTGTGTGTGTGTCGGGGTGGGGGGGGTGTGCTCAGACTATGTAGCCGGGATCCCGAGTCGTAGTGGCAAGGTCCCGCTTGGTATCAGCTGCAGGGCCCTTTGCAAACCTTAAATACAGTAGTGTGCTTTAAGTTTCGGTTTCATTGCAACAGCCCCATAATTTCTAATTCAAAGGAAGAAAAAATTAGAAGATAGTAATAAAAGTAAATGCAAAACCCAGAGACTTTTGCATTCTCCAAGTGTGCATTTCACAAATTCCAGTATCATATCAGCAAACAAAGTGTTTTTTTTTTAGCTTTTTCCTTTTAAGGACTTGCAAAAAAGAAAGGCGAGATGAAATCTGCAGGCTCCAGTCTGCCTGGTAACACCCCGACAAAAGAGGCAGATTTGAGTCTGTGTCATCCCCCGCACCCCTCCCCACGTGGCCTTCTGGCACGAGCCACCCGCCTGCCGCCTCATTTGCATCAGAAAGCTGGCGCCGGCCAATGGGAACGCAGCCTGGCGCCAGCTGGCGGCGTCGCACCCGCGGGTCTTTATAAGGAGGCGTGCGGCTGCACTCTGCGCACTCGCTGGTGGTGGGCGCACGGGATCCCAGACTGTGGGTCCTCTCTCGCGCTCCGGTTTCCTCCGCACTTTTGGATAACTTGCTGTTCGTTGATCGCACTATGACTCTGGAAGAAGTCCGTGGCCAGGACGCAGTTCCGGAAAGCACAGCCAGGTAGGTGTTTGGGCGCCGAGAGTTAGGGGATCTTTCAGGTTACTCCGGGGTAGAAGCCTGGAGAGTGGGAGCCAAATACCGGCCGACAGCTAGATGCTGAAGATGGGGGACCCAAGGTTACTTTTGATTCATTCCTAGTGCTAAAGTCTGGGGTGCCGGCACCAGGCCATAGACTAGGGATCCTGTGGCTACTGGCGGCAGATCAGGGCTGGAAACCAGGGATGCGGGTGCCCTATCACGACCGAGGTGTGGGTGCCAGATCACAATTGGGATGCCGGGGATGCGGGCGCCAGGTCGAGACTGGCGAGCCGGGATCCCGGTGCCAGGTTGGACCTGGGAGGCAGGAATTCTGGCGCCAGGCAGATGGTGGCCTGGGAGCGGGCTAGAGTTAGAAGTAGTCGCGTCTGAGTATCCCTGCGGGTCCCGACTCACGGCGATGGCTCTTCCACAGGATGCAGGGCGCGGGGAAAGCGCTGCACGAACTGCTGCTGTCGGCGCAGCGCCAGGGCTGTCTCACCGCTGGCGTCTACGAGTCCGCCAAAGTCCTGAATGTGTGAGTATAGACGCGGCCCGCTTGAAGCGTTTGGGGGGAGGGGTGGAGCGGCGGGGAGGAGATCTAGTTCACAGACCCTGACCTTGTCCTCCATCTGCCGGTGCAGGGACCCTGACAATGTGACCTTCTGCGTGCTGGCCGCCGACGAGGAGGATGAGGGCGACATAGCCTTGCAGATCCATTTCACGCTGATCCAGGCGTTTTGCTGCGAGAACGACATTGACATCGTGCGCGTGGGTGATGTACAGCGGTTGGCGGCGATCGTGGGCGCCGGCGATGAGGCGGGTGCGCCGGGCGACCTGCACTGTATCCTCATTTCGGTGAGTGCTGCCACTCCTGCCCCACGCGGTCTCTTTCCCCCACCCGGACCCGCGGCCAGCCTGGCTGACCCCTGTATTCTTCTGTACAGAACCCGAATGAGGACACGTGGAAGGATCCCGCCTTGGAGAAGCTCAGCTTGTTCTGCGAGGAGAGCCGCAGCTTCAACGACTGGGTGCCCAGCATTACCCTCCCAGAGTGAGTGACAGCCCGGCCGAGACCTTGGTCTGATCGACTTGGTGACGCTCCCGGGCGCCTAGCGCGCTGCTGGCTGTGGAGTGGCCCTCCGAGTGCGCCCGAGTGCGCGAGGAGACTGGCAGGCGAGGTTGCCTGGAGAGCGAGGAACGCGGCCTCCCGAGGAAGCCCGGCGGCGGCGGGGACACTTCCGTTCCGACCCCAGGACTGACTCTGCAAGTGTCGGGAGAGGCTGCTCGCACCGGAAGGCCGAGGCAGGGACGCCGGCTGCAGGGCGGGGAAGAGCAGACTGGAGAGGCAGGCGTGACTCAGCAGCCCTCCAGCTCCGCTGGAAAGACGGGAAGGGCGACGCAGGCGGCCTGAACTTGGTACAACTGCTGGAGCCGCCAGCTGCAGGAGCGAGCCGGACTTAGCAGGCTGCACTGCTTTTTCCAAACGGATCCGGGCAATGCTTTCATTTTCTAAAGGATGTTTTCGTGGAAGCTTTGAGTTTCACAATAAACTTATTGAAACAAACTTAGACTTTTTATTTAAGGGTAGGGGAGGTGGTGAGCGGGTGTTTCTGGAGTTGATGGAGCTGACGACACCTGTCTCTATCTTCCTGTTGAGCGAGAATTACAAGCTTCTGGGCCTGGCATTGGGGGGAAGGAATGCTGGTGAGCAATAGGGGAGAACTTGAGCAGGAGTCCTGTTAACCTTTTAGGAAGATTTTAAAGTTGCAAGACTCGAGATAAGGCTGTGTAGCAGCTCAGGGCTTGCAACCCAATCGGGTAACAGTGACCCTAGCCTCTTTACCGCCCCTCCCCCTCCGCCCCACCTCCCTCGACAGCTGCTTATCTGAACAGCTTGCGGGAGGCCGGTAGCCTTCCAGTACAAAGAGCTGCCTCTGCACCCTTGCCCTGGTGGAGACTGAGGATGGGGGCGAGTTGCCGCTGCTTTCTCTTTTAATTGCTCTGACAAAGCAGTGTTAACTGAAGTATTAATATAAAACGTGTTACCAGTGACTGCGTTTTAGGTATGAGTCATCATTTTGTCGTGGCTGTGATGGAAGTTACAGTATCTTAGCAAAAGTTGGAAGGCAGCATCTATATAAATAACTGTGAGTGAATCTGAGTGGGGTGGGCATCTACTAGTCCTATTCTGAGTGGCTCTGCCCACATCGGTGAAGAGGGTTTTGCCATCCACAATTCATTTTGAAGCCAGAGGAGGGGGAGAAAAACAGAAACTCCTGGGTGCCAAGACTGTCTTTTAAAGAAGGGACTTGGGGGAAATGTCCCAGTGAGTGAGCACACTGCCTGTGCCTGGTTGGGCTGGCCGAGTTTGGCAGGGGAAGCACACGTGGGGCTTGCTCGCTGGCAGCTCCCTGCTCAGCAGTCCACAGCCTTCGGGGAAAGGAGGGGTGGGGCGCTGTTTTTCTAAGAAGGTCATTCTGCATTCTGCTAATTTACCAGCAGTGCTTGGGGAGGCTGGTTTGCAGGTTGAGTGCCACTTTAAAACCCTGCTCCACGTTCTGGAAGCCTTTACAAGACAACAGGAAAACTGCGGGAGCTTAATTACTCTTCCTGTAAGGAAAGCATCCTGTTTCCCACTTATCAGTGTTCAAAGGCTACTCCCATGACAGAATTCTGCCGCATTTGTGCCCAGATACCGTTAAAGTTTTACTTAGGTGCTTTCTTTAATTTGGCATTTTTCTTGGGAGGTGGGGTGAGGGAGTGTGGGTCTGCATTCTCCTAGAATGACTGCTCATCATAGTGTGCTGTCCTGGGAAACGATTACCTTGAAATGTGGCCTGAAATGAGCAAACTCAGAACTTTGTAAGCTGGCAGACCCTGGTAGAACATTTGAATTGGCAGTCCATAGGAAACTTGGCATTCTTGGATTGGTCCTTGCTGTGAAGCCACCTGTTAGAATTCCTAGGAGACAGAAGAATCCTCCCAGGTGAGGGGTGGGGGGGATATAGGATGCAGGTGAATGGTGGGTCGGTGGGTGGGAGAGAGTGAGGGTGGACAAAATTAGTGCCGAATATTTTTCTTTTTATTCTTTATAAATGCATGCTAACATTACTAACATAAACTGACCAAGAGGGCAGGTAATAAAATCCATAGCGTGTATTTATTTAGGCAGGGTCACCTGTCCCCAGGCTGCTCTGAAACTCACTATGTAATCAAGGTAACTCTGAACCTCTGATCTTCCTGCCTTCACCTCCCAAGTGCTGGCATTACAAATGTGTGCCCCCATGCTTGGCTTTATGCAGTGTTGGGGATGGAACCCAGGGCTTCATGCATGCTAGGCAAACAGTCTACCAACTGAGCCACATCCCCAGCCCCCAGATGTGTAGTGTTTATAAACACACTGCAGTTCATACTTGGAGTGACCATAGGTGATAATGAACAGATAAGCTGTGGGTACATGTTAAGTATCACATTCCTGTCCAGGTAGTGAACATGGAGTGTTAAACACAGGATTGGGCCTCTAGAAAACACAGAATAAATGCTGATGATCACAGTAATTAAAAGTTAATGACAAAAGGAAGACGAAGAAAAAAATCAAAACCAACTCAATAACCTAATGACTGCTCAAGACCACAGAACGATGGGATGGGCAGAGTCTGATTCCTGGGCTAGCACGAAGCTGCTGCCAGGTGCTGAGGAGCTTGCAGCCAGTAGGTTGATATCAGAGAGAGGCTATTTTCACAGAAAGGTTTTTGCATTTATAAAAGTTACATATCCATCTGGAGAAAGTTTGTAAAATGCAAAAATTAAAGGACAAAGTAAGAGAACTCTTAGCAGAGCTTGGGCACACTTTGGTGTTTTCCCTTGGGCTGTTATTGACTTTGGCCTCTTTCCTTTTCAGTGACAGGCTCTTGCAGACCCCCTGCAGTGTGTGATCTTGGCTCCCAACAGCACCCAGCTGAAGATGCACAATCAAGTCTGTGATCCAGTAGGGAGTCTTTTTTTTTTTTTTTTTTAACTTTTCAGTCCTTGCCAAATAAGATAGCGCTTGGGTCTAGAAATAAGGCTTAGTAAAGTGCTGAGGACCTGAGTTCAATCCCCATAACCCACAATAAAAAGGTTGAGCATGACAGTATTGACTGGGTAGGCAGAAATAGGTAGATGGCCAGGGCTCCCTGGCTAGACCTAGCTTACTTGTTGAGCTCCAGGCCAGTGAGAGACCCTGTCTCAAAAAAGAGCAGGTGGTTGGGGCAGTTAAGAATACATGTTGCTCTTCTAGAGAACCAGAGTTTGTTTCTCAGGACCCATATTGGGCAGCTCATAACTGCCTGTCACTCCACTTCTAGGGGATCTGATGCCTTCTTCTGGCCTCCAAAGGCACTAGCATACACATGTACATATACACAGAGGCACAAATACATATTCATAATAATAAAAAACAGGCCTTTAAAAAAAGAAAAGAGAGGCTGGAGAAATGGCTCAGCAGTTAAGAGTACCGACTGCTCTTGCAGAGGACTTGGATTTGGCTCCTAACACCCACATGGTGGCTAACAACTGTTGGTAACTCCAGTTGTAGGGGATCTGATGCCCTTTTCTGGCCTCCATGGGCATTGCACACACATGGTGCACCTACTTACAGGCAAAGCACTCACAGACATAAAAATTTTAAAAATTAAAAAACAGAAAAGGTGGGCAGTATCTGAAGAATGATACCTGAAGATGTCCTCTAGCTTTCATGTGCACACCAGCCCAGATACACACACACACACACACAAATGCTTGAATATATACAGAAAGACAGATACCTGTTGACTTGCTATGTTTAGCACTCTAAGTGTCCCACATCTAAAATCCATGCTGCTCCAGAGCAGTAGAAGTCAATCTTTTACTTATTTATTTATTTATTTATTTATTTATTCAGGGTCTTCTTGTAGCCCCAGCTAGCCTGGAACTCACTATGTAGACCAGGCTGGCCTTGAACTCACAGAGATCCGCCTGCCTCTGCCTCCCAAGTGCTGGGATTAAAAGTGTGTGCTACCACGCCTGGCTCAATCTTTTATTTTAAAACATATTTTAACATTGGATGATTGCTTAAAAGTTTTACTCTTGCACATGTGTCCCAAAGATGAGATGGGTATAGAATGGGGCACTGGGTGGGAAGCGGCTCAGTGGATAAAGTGCTAACCACCAAGCCTGATGACCAGATGACCTGAGTTTGATCCCCAGAACTCACATGGTTGAAGGAGAGAAACGAATTCTCCAAGTGTGCCTACACACATTCACACAGGCTCCCACAAGATAAATAAATAAATGTAAATAAAATAAAATAAAGTAAAGAACTGGGAACTGCTGGGAGGACCAGTAGCCTTGTCTGTACTGGGCAGTTCCACTCAGGGAGCCTCCTTCCCTAGAAAGATGACAGGCAAAGGGATCTTTCCCATTCAGTATAATTCTAAAGGTTTTATTTCTGGCATTATGCATTTTATTAAAGCATTCACCCCAACAGCACAGTGCATCTCTCTCTTGAGGCTTCCAAAGAGCTATTTTAGAAAGAAAAAAAAAAAAAGAATCTTCCAGAAGAAAAGCAAGAACATTGAAGAACCAAGTAGATTCTCTCTCTCTCTCTCTCTCTCTCTCTCTCTCTCTCTCTCTCTCTCTCTTTCTGAGATTCTTGGGGTTTTTCTGAGATTCTTGGGGTTTTCCATTGGTTTTCTAGGATAATGATCTCTGGACTTTTCATTGGGAATGTAACCACTGACAAGAGAGACTATTTCAAAGTGAGATTCTTGTAATATCATGCTATTGAAACAATGGATCTCAAAGAATTAAAATTTCCCCAAGAATTCCATGCAGGGGGAAGGGAAAGGTTTAAAGCCTTGGTGCCAGTCAGGGGAGGAGCTGGTCTCCAGGAAGCAATTTCACACACTTCTGATAACTTATCAGGCCACCTTGCAGGACAGACTGGAGCCTAGAGATGGGTCAGTGATAGGTGGGCCCTCACCCTGGCTAGGACTACTTAGCTATGCAGACCTCTGACCCTCGATTTAAACCTAAACCTCATGTCAGGACCCCAAAGACAGACACAGGGGCCATTTGGCCTCTATTTTACCTCTTCCCAATGTGACTACACTGACTCTATCTCCTTTCTCCGATTTTTACTGTTACTTGTTTATTTAATTGGTGAATCGAAGATGACTGACTGAGCTTGTTGGGGCTGCTGGGGGCCCAGGCTCTGATCCCAACAGCTCCAGTAACAGCTATATGCCCCCAAAGTTGCCAAAAGGAAATTGTCTTTTCACAGCTCCCATAGGGGCTTTGTGACTTAACTGGGGGCCAGGAGACATGCTTTCAAACGGCAAGCCTCAAATACATGCAGCCAGAGAGGTAATCACACTGAGCAAGGACAACAGGGGCAGCAGGGCTGCTAGTAATGTATCACCGCCTTGGAGTCTGTCCTAGAGCAAATTTACATTCGGCCTTTGTAAGCTGTCCTGTTTTTCAGTCCAACTCACACTTTCCTTCTATATCTTCTGAACGTTTCCAATGATATCACCCCTCTTGGTA